ATCATTCAACATTTGGGAAACAAAAAACAAAGCAAACGAAAGAAGTTTTCACAAGAAAAGTAAGAGATGTTACAACTGTAGTCAACAGCACCATTAATGATGATTTATTATCAAAGAGAATTCATCAAGTTGTGGGAAAAGCAGTAGCCAATTTACAATCTGCCAAATATTGGATTCCCATTCCAGGACCTCCCGGTCCACAAGGAAAACCCGGTCCAAGAGGACCGAGAGGACGCATGGGTAAACCTGGACGTCGAGGAAAACAAGGACCACGTGGTTTTCCTGGAAAGATAGGACTTCCTGGTCCCAAAGGAATGCCTGGACCAAAGGGACCAAAGGGAGATCGTGGTCCTTCCTTAGCACGTCCAACAGTACTCATTTCACCAACACATCTCATCGTCAATGAAAGCCAGTCCGCCATTTTGCATTGTTCGTCTAGTGGTTATCCTCGACCTAATGTTGTCTGGAGTAAAAACAACGGTACATTACCACACAAACGAGCAGAAGTTGATAACACTGGTAAACTTGATATCAAACACGTGACACCCAATGACTCAGGAATCTATCAGTGTAAGGCTTCTAATCTTCTTGGCAGCACACAAACAACAGCGAAACTTCAAGTGAACTTCCCTCCACGACTGACCTTGAGCAAAAGAACGGTCTACAAAAAGATTGGTGATGACATTCCTCTACCCACGTGTCACGTGACGGGATACCCAAAACCAAATGTCACGTGGTCCAAAGCTTTTGGATCTTTGTCAATACGTCGTTTGCTTATCAAGAATGGACGGCTGACTATACTAAAAGCTAAGAAAGATGATTCAGGGATATATGTTTGCAAAGCTGAAAATCTTCTTGGATCTGTTGTAGGATCTGTTATGGTAAATATTATCGACCATCCTGTATTTGTTGTCAAGCCTACGGCGTCATATACAACTCCCCCAGGAACAACTGTGGTGTTAAACTGTACCGCTAAAGGTGACCCTCAACCTGTCATCAGTTGGAGAAAAGACAACGGCGTTCTTCCTCTTGGGAGATATGAAGTGAGAGATGGCTCTTTGATTATAATGAACGTCAAGAAAACAGATTCGGGTGTGTTTATGTGCACTGCTACTAGTGCTGGAGTGTTTGATACTGAAACAACGACAGCATTAACAGTGGCCGACCCAAAAGATTGTACAGACTTTTACAAATCAGGAGAGAGACGTAACGGTGTTTACACAGTTCAACCAGACAAGCAGCCTGCATTTCAAGTCTACTGTGACATGACAACTGACGGAGGGGGTTGGACTGTGTTCCAAAGAAGACAAGATGGATCAGTTGATTTCTATCGCAATTGGCAGCAATACAAAACAGGTTTTGGAAACCTGAATGGCGAGTTTTGGTTGGGTAACGATTACATCCATCGACTGWCAGCAAGAACAGCGTCRAGTCTGCGCGTTGAGKTAGAGGACTGGGAYGGRACTAGGAAGTATGCCAAATATGGTAGTTTTAGTGTTGGTGATGAATCAGACAAGTACAGGCTGAGGGTTGGCTCGTATTCAGGTACTGCTGGGGACTCGTTATCATATCATAACAATATGGCGTTTACTACAAAAGACAGAGATAACGACAAGCATAGTGGTGTTAACTGTGCTACATCATATACCGGTGCCTGGTGGTATGATAGTTGTCATGATTCTAATCTGAATGGAAAGTACTTTGGAAACAAGGTTTCGTATAAAGGAATTAGTTGGTATTATTTCCATATCAATGGGCAAAGTTTTAAGAAATCTCAAATGAAAATGCGTACTAGTGGATTCTAATTCGATTCTAATGCATGAGTAGCACAGTAAGATAACACTGAAGTTATTTGTACAGACATTTATCAACGATGATTGATTGTATAATAAGATTATTTAGTAAAGAAGTAAAAGCATTAGCACCTCAAAATAGTTTTCTCTGATAAATGTACATCAATATAGTATGAATGTTGTACATAGAATGCAACGTTAATAAGTCTCAGTGAAAACCATAACAGCGCGATCTTTAAAAAAATATCAAAAAACTGAACTTATCTTGCGTTTCTTTGGTAAAGACTCTGAAAAGATTTGATTTTGTAGTATCTGGTCGGCTAGTGCGGGACACTCGAACACTGACTTTAATAACTTACTTTAATAACTCATCCCAGAACAAAAAGATTGCAAGTATGAATTTGTAAACGTAAATTTTAGGACTTTGATGTATTAAGAAAAGCTGTCAAGATATTTCGCAAAGTCAAAGCAACTAAGAGCGTTTGACATTCCTTTACAACTGAGCTTCCATAGAACTGATTCTCTATTCCTCTTGCGCGGCACACAGGATTAATAATCCTCGAATATTCCAGAATATTGTACCTGTGTTCCTGAAGATGATGGCAATATGAAACRAAATGTCAAATTTAATTTGATAGCTGTATAGTTAGTATAGTTAGAGGCTACAGCACTGCATGTAGGTTGAAGCAAGCACCTGGAAAAGCGAGAAAATTACTAAAGCTACAATGTTTCTTCGCGCGCTACGCAATTTTCCTTGAGGTTAATTCCGATGTGGCTTAGCTAAGAAACACAGATACAAGCCACGTGACACTACACTTGCTTAGCTAAATCTTGCGTTACAATCATATTAATAGACCTCTAAAGATCTTTATAAATTAAAAACGAAACATTACACCGAAGAAAATTTCACTGTTTTAAAAAGTTTCTTTCGGCGGTTAAAAAACCCCGCCCGAATCCATTGTATGAATTATTTAATTAAATTTGCGTCGAATATCTCTGGTTTTTGATCTGTTTGTATGGTTATTATCGAATGCAAGTATTCTATATCTCTTCATTTGGATCTTGTATGTCGTGGGGAATCGGGCATCGTAAGTCAGGACCATCGAGTTCATCTTCTGTTGAGCTTGAGTCAGGCTGGTCGGGTAGCAGCAGCTCTTCCTACACAAAGAACAGATTWGACTTTCGTCAATAAAACGATCTGTGTACATCTATTGCAGAAAACTGTGATACTGTATAGTGCATTCAAAGAACACAATGCATTGTTGAAATGAAACCACGTTGGCTGTGGTAGAAAATGAAAAAAAAACACTTACTATCGCCGCCATGTTGTATGACTCAACAAGCGAAACTAATGAGGAATGCTTTGTTATCGTCATCCAACATGGCGGCGATGACGTAACTCGAAACCAAGGAATTGAATAGTTAACTTACGATATTTTGGTTCAATGACTATGCACAAAAGAACGCACACGAGGATACGGGAAAACAATGTATAATCTTGATTTATTCTTTTATTTCCCCGGAGCCTCGTCTGCAATTCTTTTGTGCATTGTCACTGAACCAAAATATCGGCTATTGGTCTTACCTTGTCTCTTGTGTACTTGAACGACTTCAGTTTGATCGGTTCGTCAGGGTTACCATAGCGAATCAACCTAAATCATGATATAAAACTATGACTATACTACAATCGCTTCATGGATAAAAAWCGACTTTACATATACGGGCCCCACCCCACTCCCCTCCTCAAAAAATCATATAGGATACTCACGTTGTTCTGGTCCAGTAAGGTTTCTCCTCCAGCTCCCAGTCACAGAATAATATAAGATAAAGAATGAAGGTCTTGAGTGTGATTTGACCAACATGCTATCAAGATACAATAAAATATTGATGATTGTTCAATAAAATGGCACTAAATTATTAAAGGACCGTGATTAACCAGCATTCCTTACGAGCTTTTGTTGTTTACTAACGATATATCGTCATCTTAACTAAACTCACTCTGTATTATCCCTTGTACTATATGAATGGAAATATTGTAAGATTTGAACCGACGGATTGAAACAGATTGCGAATGAGTATCTGATGTTACCTCATTTTTACAAATATGAAAAAATTAAACACGACTGCATTGAACACACGAAGATAATGATAATGATTATGATAACGATGATAATAATAATGATGATAATGGTGCTGATTGGTTAAACTTACCGCTCCCGCACATTTATGGTTGCCAGGTAACGAGCTCTCGCCCATACCCCCATGCATGCAAATCAGCTTAGATTTCAAAGACTGAAATGAAAATGAAAACAAAGAAGTCTGTTACACTTYGTTTCACGGCTTTATCAAAACAACTCTAAAATATTTACATTTCTGTCTATTTGACTTTCACACTGTAGTAGTAATTTTCGTTTCACGGGTTGAATGACTTCACTGTAAGCGCGTCCACAGTGATCCTAATTCTCTGTTCAGCGGTCAACCAAGTATAGGGGCGCTTTCCATTAGTCAGAACTGGCTGGCCAGACCCAGAGAAAATGTCATTATATGTCATCTATTTAGTTAGGAAATTCAAATTTTCAAATTGTATCTATGATTCTATAGAAATCCTCGAAATGACTGAAAAATGTTGACAAAAAGCATTATATACCTCTAGATAGAGCGGACTGGCCGGCCAGTTCTGCATAAATGGAAAGYACACTAGGTCTACATGCACTACTTACACTGTCTTTAATGAACCGCGTAGGATCAAACTCATCGACGCCTTTACATCCAGCAACAATAAATTCACTGGGGTCTCTCTGCGCGACGTGACAGTTCCCCAATAATCTCTCGCCTTTACGAATCCTGAATTTACCAGACTTTGAGTCCAGGACAAAGTTTCTCCTTAAAATACACAACGAAACGACATGTGATGAATATATATCTTACGCAGACTCTCAATAAWCATAACTAAATTCAATCCGTTACGAAACGTCCTAACTTTGGTAGGGTAAAATTATTGCACTGTGTTTATATGAACTGCCAGCCCTGTAATCCCCCCCTGATTTGTTGTTCTATACTGAAGTCAAGACGTTAAATGAAATGTCCAAACTTTTGAATGGAGTTCGTGTTCATGTGAACTGTCAGCCCTTTCACCCCCCCTGAATCATCTTGCTACATACTTACTTTGCGATGGCAAAGTATAAGTCAACCGGGGGATGCATCCTCAAGACCTACCAACAAAGATAACAGTTTAGTAAATTATTGAGACCCTAAACTCCTAAAGACGAAAAGAGGCTAGGAATTGAGTGAATACTGATCGTTTTCAATCATTCCCATGAGATTCAAAAGATAAAAGACCGGCGGCCATGTTGGAGGAATGAACAATTGACACTAATAAGAATTCCTTTGTTTAATTTTCTCCAAGATGGCCGCTGTGACGTGACGATGAAAAACGAAGAATTTTGAAACAATCAAAAAACTCAATCAAACTCAATCAAAAATCAACTGACTAACAACGCGGAGAGAGTAACACTTTTCTCTCACCTCACATGTAAAGGCATCAAGTTTCTTCATTTTTTTCAGTGTTTTTAAGTTCAATCCTATGGTTCCGAGGTGTTTCTTGATTTCTTGCTTAAGTTCTTCCCTCTCTTCGCTCGTCATTATTGACAGACGAGCAGCCGCTGACCTCATGGCAGCACCTGTCCCGGGGCTCGCATTGAAACTAGATGGAAAGGACATTAAACAAATTGTTTAGCATCAAGAGATATCTAGTCAAACTAGTGARTACTCCTAGGTGTATCTAATGACCCTTTCTCTTAATGACGTCAGGYAGATTTGGCGAAGTGCATTATGGTACTGATGACGTTTCAAGATGGCGGATGCTTTAATAAGAGAGAAAAACAAAGGTGACAATAGTCACATAAAGAGACTTACTTCAACATCCATAATATTTCTAAGGCGGCTTCTTCCTGCCCGATGCCATATTGCTCRGCGCATCTGTAGATATGGTCGATATTGGGCGAGTTGACAATGGAGGTTTGCAGGAGGTCAAAWGCATCTAAAGCCAACTTGTGTTTTCCTTTGGGTTCTCCTTTGCAGTTTTTTCTTAAAGTAGACAAAAGTATATTTTTTCTGTCATTTTGTCCAGTAACAGAGGATTAGCCTGGTAMACATTGTCAGACATTTTAGTGAACTTAACACAAAAATTTCTTAACTGTTACTGTTCATATAGACCTCTGAAGCTTTTACGTCATGTACCGTACAGTATACGCAATGCATTCTAGGATATAGTGTTTGTGACTGAACATGGCGGATTTCTTTTGTTTTCTCTAGAAACTAATCCCACGATAAACCATTAAATTAAAAAACTAATAATCTGATAACCAGATTTCTTTGCAAACTTAAAGTACTAAAATATTATAATATGTCAGTATAGAATAATGTATTCTTGTAAGTAAAATGTGCTTAATTTCTACATTACACAAAACTAAGTTTTTTTCTGCATTTTTATTCTAAACAGATTACACATTCAGCGACGCCATTTTTCAGAGAGCAAAGAACATCCTTCTCTTCAGAAATAATCCCCAAAATTCAGACTGATTTTTTTGCTTTTCTTCACAGAAAAAATCAGCACTTTTAATTTTATTTAAGCAAAGAAAGCGCAATAGCAGGTAMTTTTAGAAGACATTTTGAAGCCAATAAAAAGTTCCAGTTCTACATTTCCCATCATGCTTTATTCAAAATGGCGTCGCCTCAACTTCGCCGTAAAACAATTGGTGAGACTCACTGTGTTTTTTTCAGGACCTCAAATCTCCAGCCTAAAAAAGCCTCGCCATCCAGTCGTATTCCCAGAAGAGTTTCACTCATAATGTCATTTGATAGCAAAAGTATGCGTTCTTCCCATTCTTGTTGGGATGCTCTTCCTCTGTCTGAATTGTAAATGTAAAAAAAAAAACTGCGGCTTAATTTTTTTTATTTTTTGTCATCAAAAACCCATCTTAAGGTAATAAACAATCGCAATATTAAACCCCTAAAATGGCTTCTCGTTTTAGCATTTACCATTCAATTTCATTGGATAATTTTTACTCTGCGAGTTGTTGTTGTTGTTTCTTTCTGGTGTTGTTGCTGCTTCTGGTTTTGTTGTTATGCTTGTTTWCTATGCTGTACAGTGGTTTTCGTAAGCCCGTGAAACAAAGCGTAATAGTCAACGTGCAATAATGCGTGAAACAACGAAAAGCACAAAGGATATCGTGCAAAATAAATATTTTAAAAATATTTTTTTAAATGGGTTGATAAAAATCACTCAAACTGTTTGTTGCCGTTGCAGTTGTGATARAGAACTTAAGCATCAACAATCTTTGAGACGCCGATATCAAAATTTTCACGTTATATTTTCACGTTAGCACGGATGATGACGATGCGCGCCAAAATTTTGTCACAAACCGGAAGTAAAAATTCACTTCCGTCTAACATCGCCGCTACAAAAATTGATGATGCTTAAGTTTTGTATTTTTTTCCATTCGTGTAACGTTATCACGATGATTTTACCTTCCTTGAATTGCCATTTAATAAGATGTTCTGGCATGATATCCAGTATAGTCGGGATAAGTGTCTGCATTTTCATGCTTCTCGATATAGCCATCAAAAACTGCTTTTTCTTGTGATGTTCTTCACCATTTGAGAACATGGAAGGGATGTGCCCTGCTAGAAGATCCTTGTTGAACCTAAAGTTCCCAAAACCTTGTTCTTTATCAACCTAAAAGTAATGTAAAGAAACATTGCGTAAACGTAACGCTAATGTAAACGGAACGATAACGCACCGTAAAAGTTGTTATAGTCGCGAATTTTAATAAGGTCAATAGGAAAGAGTCAAGAATTTCACGGCACAACGTTCGCATAACACGATCGCATGCAATCTGAGTAGTCATCCATACAACATGGATACAACTGTCGAAGGGCTATTAAACAATTATTTTGAATYTCTGCGGCAGTGCTGTGCTAGCCATGTTGTCGCAGGAAGACTTGTTGCATGTTGCATGCCATGGTTGTATTCAAATTTTGAACCGTTTTAAATATGAAAGTCTGAAATGCTATTCAGTGCATATTGAATCAATAAACCCGACTACATAGAAAATAGATATCATAAGGTCACCAAGTCTCGTATAAAATATCACAACATGTTGAGACAGGAATGAAGRCTGATTMAYAGTGAAAGTATAAGATTTCGGGTCATTTTCACTGCGTCAGTCTTCCTGTTTGCTTAAATATTGTTCTATTTGSTAAAATATGGCAGATAAAATCATCCATTCTTGCTTGGTGTCCAAAATTGCCATCACTCTATCGGTCGTCAGTTTGTTGTTGTGCTGTGGTGTGTTTTTAAGAACAGAATTGATGCTAAACGAGTTGTATTCAAGAGACATAAAGCTTAAGCTGCCAGACAAGATGACTTCAAAACATGACATGAACGATGGCAATCGATTCGACAAAAATGATCTTTCAGAGCGAACATTTGAGAAACAAGAAACAAAGCAAAATGAGACAATTCAAAGAAGAAAAGWAAGACACGTTACAACTGGAGTCAATAACACCATTAAATTATTAACTGATTTATTTTCAAAGAAAATTGATCAAAAGATCGGCAAAGCAGTTGCCAATTTACAAGCAGCCAAATACTGGATTCCAATTCCAGGACCTCCCGGTCCACAAGGAAAAGCTGGTCCAAAAGGACCGAGAGGACGAATGGGTAAAACTGGACGTCGAGGAAAGCGAGGACCACGTGGTTTTCCTGGAAAGATCGGACTTCCTGGTCCAAGAGGAATGACTGGACCAAAGGGACCAGAGGGAGATCGTGGTCCTTCCTTAGCAAGTCCAACAGTACTCATATCACCAACACATCTCATCGTCAATGAAAGCCAGTCCGCCATCTTACATTGTTCTTCTAGTGGTTATCCTCGACCTGATGTTGTGTGGAGTAAAAGGAACGGTACATTACTACACAAACGAGCAGTACTTGATAACACTGGCAAACTTGATATCAAACACGTGACACCCAATGACTCAGGAATCTATCAGTGTAAGGCTTCTAATCTTCTTGGTAGCACACAAACAACAGCGAAACTTACGGTGAACTTCCGTCCACGACTGACCTTGAACAAAGGACCAATCTACAGAAAGATTGGTGACGACATTCGTTTACCCACTTGTCACGTGATTGGATACCCAAAACCCAACGTCACGTGGTCAAAAGCTTTTGACTCTTTTTCGAAAAGTCGTTCTGCTATCAAAAATGGTCAGCTGACTATACTAAAAGCGAAGAAAGATGATTCAGGGACATATGTTTGTGAAGCTGAAAATCTTCTTGGTTCTGTTGTGGGTACTATTGTAGTAAATGTTGTCGATCTGCCTGTGTTTGTTATGAAGCCTCCATCGTCACACAGTTCAAGTCCAGGGGCAACTGTAGTGTTGAACTGTACCGCTAAAGGTGAACCTCAGCCTGTCATCAGTTGGAGAAAAGACAACGGCGTTCTTCCTCTTGGGAGATATGAAGTGAGAGATGGCTCTTTTATTATAAGGAACGTCAAGAAAACAGATTCGGGTGTGTTTATGTGCACTGCTACGAGTGCTGGAGTGTTTGATACTGAAACAAGTACAGTGTTAACTGTGGCAGATCCAAAAGATTGCGCTGAACTTTACAAATCAGGAAAGAGACGTAACGGTGTGTACACAGTTCAACCCGACAAGCAGCCTTCATTTCAAGTCTACTGTGACATGACAACTGACGGWGGRGGYTGGACTGTGTTCCAAAGAAGACAAGATGGATCAGTTGATTTCTATCGCAATTGGCAGCAATACAAAACAGGTTTTGGAAACTTGAATGGCGAGTTTTGGTTGGGCAACGATTATATCCATCGACTGACAGCAAGAACAGCGTCGAGTCTGCGCGTTGAGTTAGAAGACTGGGACGGAACTAGGAAGTATGCCAAATATGGTAGTTTTAGTGTTGGTGATGAATCWGACAAGTACAGGCTGAGGGTTGGCTCGTATTCAGGTACTGCTGGGGACGCGTTATCATATCATAACAACATGGCGTTCAGTACAAAAGATAGAGATAACGACAAGAGTAGTAGTGAGAACTGTGCTACATCTTATACCGGTGCCTGGTGGTATAAGTATTGTCATAATTCTAATCTGAATGGAAAGTACCTTGGAAACAAGGTTTCGAGTAAAGGAGTTCGTTGGTACCATTTTCATTCAAATAGTCAAAGTTTAAAGAAAGTAGAAATGAAAATGCGTTCCAGTGCATTCTAATTTGTTTTGACAATATATGATAACACTTAAGTCATTGTTTGGATTTTTTTATCGATAAGATTAACATTTATCTTATTTTTTCTTGGATGCAGTTCTTTTGTAAGACAGTTTTATAAAAGCATGATAGAAAAATAACATTTATTGTAAAAAGTTATGCAGGCCAGACTTGTTATGCAATATTTCCTCCTTTTGTTTTGTATGTTTTCACTACAGCTGATGCTTGAAGAAGTTGATGAAAAAGTGTGAAAGWTTTTTTCTTTCCAGTCAAAAAAGGGAGAGACTGGGTGCAATTCTATAGTCAATATATTTCTATAATCATGTCTATGTCAAAAGGGTAATATAAAATGTGTCTGTAATGGTACATTTGATCTTGGTCAATATCCAAGAGTTGAAAAATACSTAGTCCCCTCTCGCAGCCATTATGAGGCTCCTTCCCAGGTCACKCTCCTCTAAGTGGGAGAAACCTGGGAACAAACSTCCAAATGGCTGCGAGASGAGACTAAAAAACACCAGGATGAGAGAATAGAATGAGAAAACAGGTTAAGGTCCAGATCTTTGTGACATGCACCCCCTTCTTGGAAACTTGTCCCCCTCACTTACAAAATTCTGGATTTCCCCTCTATGCACTAAGATTATAGAATAAAAATTCAAGGACTTTATGAATTACTTTGCTGGGAACTTGGTAGTCCCATTTTGGTGTTTCTGTGCCTCTTCTAAACCTTATAACTTCTAGAAGAAAACCTTCAGAACCTATTTTTAGCGGAGCTCCCGCGCGGGCCGAAGGCCCGCGCGAGCGGAGCACCATAACTAAGGAAA